AAAACTTTGGATCAATCTGACTGGATGATCTGGTGAACTGGAAAGTGTCTTGAGATGACATGTGTTGTGAATTGGTGCTATAGAAATAAACTGAATTGAAATTGAATTGAATTTGGACCAGCACATCAGTTCCAGCTTTTTTTTGTTGTTTTCCAGACATGAAAAACATGCAGGCGGTGACTTGGATCAGTAAAGGTAACAGGATGTCCTGCCCAGCGAACTGCCCGAAACCACTGCACAACATCATGCTGGACTGTTGGAAGGAAAAAGAAAAGGAGCGCCCAACATTTGAGACGCTGCAGTGGCAACTGGAGGAATACTTTGAGATGGAGGATGAGAACCCTTATTCTACTTCTCTCTACTAAAGCAAATACTCACTTCTTTGCTCTAATAGCAATGGATGACGGATATGAAAGTGAAACTTTGTGAATAATAATCACTTGATTTAGCAATAATAGTCACATTACTGAAGGCCCCACCTGGTGGGGATGTTAGGATATTAAAATTGAAAGCTATGTTCAAGGATAAATACCCAACACTTTCAATACCATGGTAATTATATTCTCTTTATGGCAAATTTGTTTATTTGTCTGGTTGAGAACGACGAAATATGATTTCCAATATGAAAAACATAATTTCAATCTTAATAATTAAATTAATAGATAATCAATTTTAAATAAATAGGTAGATCTAGATCTTTGGCTGATCAAAACTGGCAGTAAAATGTCAAAGGTGAATAACTCTAGAGGGTTTATTGTAGGTAAAAAACTATGAAGGTGTTACAGAAAAAAAGCATTCATTTATTTAATCCGCTTAAAGAAATGAGATCCATGGTAATCATTCGGTTGGCAATTAATTTGTCTTTGCAAAGAAGAGAACAAGAGAATCATACCAGCTTTCCCAGTTCAATGTTCTTCCCTTTTCTGGTCTTAACAATGTTTTTCTAAGTGAATTCAAAATCCTCGGTTACGCTCTGGCCTGCTTTGCTTCATCCGGCCCAGGGTATCTGCATCTCTACAGGGTTCAATTATATATCAAGACTATTACATTGGGATTCTATAGACTTACAAAGGTTCTTGTCCCAAAACACCCTGCACTAAAATCCCCTAGAAACAGCTAAGAGGAAAACACTGGACTATTCTGAAATGGGGGGCCCTTACCTAAATCCCACTGATAAACTTTGAAAGGAGTTGAATATAGCCATCTGGAAAAGTCAGCCTTCAAACATGGGACAACTGTTCATGAGGAATGGACCAAAATACCTGCAGAGAGCAGCAGAAGTCTCATTGACAGTTACAGGAAATGACTGATTGCCTCAAAGTTAGAGCATTAAAGTATTCGGTTAAGGGTGCCATCATTTTGGTCCAGGCCTGTTTCACAAGTGTGTTTTTTCAAATCATTCTTTTGATGTATGGTTGAAGAACAACTTCTTAGTCTTATTTCTTTCTTTTTATAGATTTTTTTAAAACATTTTTTTTTTTTTTATCTATTAACACTTTTGTCAGATTCAAGTTATTTCTGTGCCCATTGTGGTTTCATGAAAGGTGGGGTACCAAAAGTTTTGTCCACATGTGTATATACTATTGAAAATGTTTGTAAATGGGAAAATTAAAAGAAATGTGTTTCCAGATGTCACCAAGTTTACCTGGTTATGTATAATCAGTGAATTCCAGTCCCCTGATCACTGGTCTTGGATGTGCTGAAATATGTTCAGTATTGAAGAGACGATCTGCCTTGATTACCTCCATCCATGTTCATCTCATGTGTGAAAAAAATGGAGTTCAGTTTGCAAAACCCCAATGTAAAAAAAAAGGAGGTATATCTGGGTGCACTGTAAGTAATTGCCATTCAGAATTATGATCGCTTCCACCATAATGAACTTTTTGAAGAGTTTCAGTCTGGCTTTAGAGCGCATCATAGCACTGAAACAGCTCTGGTGAAAGTCACTAATGATATTCTCATGGCCTCAGATAATGGACTTGTATCTGTGCTCGTCCTGTTGGATTTCAGTGCTGCTTTTAATACAGTTGATCATAATATTCTTATAAAAACATTTTGTGGGAATTTAAGTTAGCAGCATTAGACTGGTTTAAATTTGATCTTTTTGACTGATTTCAGTTTGTTCATGTTAATGAATACTCTTCGTCATGCTCCAGGGTTACCTGTGGAGTACCACAGGGATCAGTGCTAGGACCAATTCTCTTTACTATATGTAGAGTAGTAGCCATTCAAAATTTCCCAATTTTCCTTGATTGCTCCTTGGCTGGTACTTGGCTGTTCCTCTACAATTCCTCGAACTCAACGCTATTTCGGACATTTTGAATTGAAAAAAACTTTCTAGATGGGAAGAGAAACGTCTTCAAACTTGCTAACTTTCTTTATTTGGAATGACTATGAGCTGGATCCTTTTTAAACAGCTAAAATATTCTTTCTGTCATGATTTGTGGACATTAAGATCTAAAAAAAAACAGCATCATCTCCTGGTCAGACCTGTAATTCAGTGAACGCAAATGAGAAGAAGGGGGTCACTGCGGTGGCTGGAGATTTTGCTAGTTAGTTGTGGGGAAGTGGGCTGCCATTCTGCTGGCGTTGGACTGGGAAGGACCATTTTGAATGGCTGCTACAGTATTGGTAGAATTATTAGACAGCATAGGATTCATTTCACTGTTATGCTGATGATACCCAGCTATATCTGTCTATAATCCAGATGAAGCTAACCCATTACATAGATTACAGGCATGACTTGAAGACATAAATACCTGGATGACTCTTAACTTTCTCCTTCTGAATGCAGACAAAATATAAGTTATAGTCTTTGGACCAGAGTCTCTGAAAAAGAAGCTGATTAGCCAGTCACTTCATTTGGATGAGATTTGTCATGAGGAAAAGGTATTGGACTGTTCACTACAGTTAATTAAATGGAGATAGATTTTTTTACTCAATCAGGATTTTATTTCATCTTTGCAAAGAGAGAACAAGACATCATACAACCCTTGGTGCATAGTGTTCAGCCTTGTTCTGACTAACATAAGTTTGTCTCTCCTTAATTAACCCCTTCAGGTCCCTACGCCTCTCTACCCAAAACAAAAAACNGAAAGAAACACCGCCCAGGAACCGGCATCGTAGCGAAGGCACCGGCACCGACCCCGAAAATCCCCGAACAACACCCAGCCCCACCCCGAAGCGGATCCAGTCCCAGGCCCCAGGGATCCGAGGCCCCAAGGGCACCCGATCCCCAGACAGGAGCCCCAGCAAAGCCCCGGCAACTTCTTCAAACTTAGAAACAAAGTCCAGTGGATTGTTTTTAATTTTCTTTTTTTGGAATGACTATGAGCTGGATGACTGAGAATCTTTACCAACATATTCCTTTGTAAACATCTAAAATATTCTTTCTGTCATGATTTGTGGACATTAAGATCTAAAACAAAGCATTATCTCCTGGTCAGACCCTGTAATTCAGTGAAAGCAAATGAGAAGAAGGGGGTCACTCCAGTGGCTGGAGATTTTGCTAGGAGTTGTGGGGAAGTGGGCTGCCATTCTGCTGGCGTTTGACTGGGAAGGACCATTTTGAATGGCTGCTACTGTATTGGTAGAATTATTAGACAGCATAGGATTAATTTCCACTGTTATGCTGATGATACCCAGCTATATGTGTCTATAAATCCAGATGAAGCTAATCCATTACATAGATTACAGGCATGTCTGAAGACATAAAAACCTGGATGACTCTTAACTTTCTGCTTCTGAATGCAGACAAAACAGAAGTTATAGTCTTTGGACCAGAGTCTCTGAAAAAGAAGCTGATTAGTCAGTCACTTCATTTGGATGGGATTTGTCATGGGAAAAAGGTATTGGACTGTTCACTACAGTTAATTAAATGGAGATAGATTTTTTTTACTCAATCAGGATTTTATAAAATCTTTGCAAAGAGAGAACAAGACATCATACAACCCTTATTGCATAGTGTTCAGCCTTGTTCTGACTAGCCTAAGTTTGTCTCTCCTTAATTAACCCCTTCAGGTCCCTACGCCTCTCTACCCAAAACAAAAAACAGACAGTGTAAATATAAAAGTACAAATTTTAAAACTACTTAAAGTATAAAAGTAGAAGTAATGCAGAAAAAAATGTTAAGGACAGAAGCTTTACTGCACTATTCTATTAAAGGAACATTTTTCCACTATTCTGGATGATAACTACCTTAAACTTCCTTTCCTTAGTTTTATAACTAATGGTAACAGTGTCAAAATTGATTTTGCATCATTTGGAAAAACAATTTATTTTGGTATGTGGTGAACAACAAGTTGGGGCAGCACCAAGTCCAACCACAAAGTTATTAGAATTAATATTAATTCTCTCTAAATTAAACCATTATGTTGATGTTTTTGTTTTTTTAACACCAACAGGCCATAACAAAAATCAGCTTAAATGAAACAAAACTAACGTGCCTATTTTTAAAATGTAAGGAGTATAAAGTTAAAAGCTGAATAAAAAAATAATTTCTCCAGTAAAGTATAAAGTATTTCTACTTAAGGTAATGAAGTATTTGTACTTTATTACATGACACCTCCGTATGATTCATTTACAAGTAATCCTCTGGACTGATTAACATTCTATGCAGTTTAATGAAAAAAATCTGAATTCTTTTCCAGGTTTATGACTTGAAGCCTTTTCAACATTTTATTATTTCCAAATTTAAAGACAAATGTTAAATCATGAACTGGAGGTGATCAAACTACATTAATGTAGTTTCTCCAAATGGCCACATGGAGGTGCTGATACTCTGCCCTGGACTCTTACTCAATAAGGGACTCAATAAAGGCATTTCTTTCTAGAGAAAACTTATAAACCTATTTATATCAAAGCCATCATTGACAGTGTGGAGTGAACAGGATCCAGCCTTTCATTTGCACATCAGTAACGTATTGAAGAAACAATGATTAAATATTTGTTCAGAAGTTAACATCCAGATTTCTAGACTGTGCCATGAAAGCCAGCATATTAACACATCCCTGCAGTAGGAGTCCAATACCAGGAATTATAGAATTTCATAGATGATTTGTAGCTGTTGCCTTTGCTTTTAGAAGAATGCTCCAAAATAAGAACTTCTGCACCTTGGTGTCAGATCAACCAAGCTACTTTCACATCCTTAAGTCCTAAAGCATGCAGGGGCTCCTCTGCACTGTCTAGTTTCTAACTTCTGTATCTTAGCAGAACAGTACATGTCTATATAAATCATCAGCCTGCTTTGATCATGAGTATTTGTATCAAATTTATTAACCACAGTTAATTAGGACACATTTCATAGATCTATTTTGTTGGTGTATATTTATAAATTATATAACATTGTTTTGACTAAGAGACAAAC